CTCAGCCTCTCTCTGTCTTTCTTGATCAAGTGACTGACACATGCAGAACACTCCTTATTTACTAACTGACAAAATAGCCAACCCACATTTTAGCTGTGACTTATTTTTCCTAAACAAGAATATCAAACGTTAAGTTGCTATTGTTTCCACCTTGAATGTCACTGTCATTTCCAGTGCATCATATCTAAAAGCCATAGGTCCCCCTGCATCCTTGTCACATTTCTTTCTCCTGTATTTTTGGTACTGTGGAAGTGTTCCACACTCAACTCTTCCACTACAAAGTGAGGCGATGTTATCAGCAACTCCTTGAACACGCATACAAACTGAAAGAATTGCATTTGGATGTTTCTTAAGTCCTTCCTGTCTGAAAAGTCCATATCTCTTAATAGTATCATACATCTTCATTTCGCAACCGAGGGAATGATGTTTAAAACAGTTAAGCAATTCTTTATAGATGAAAATGCCACATTTTAGACACATTATAGATGCCCCAAACCAGTAATAAGGATGAAATGCTGAAAGCAGCCAAAGAAGACAACAGATTATATTCAGGGAAAGGTTATTGAGAATAATGGACTGGCTTCTCATGAGAGTTGATGGAATTAAAGTCTTAGGTGCTGAAAGGGGAAATGTCAATCTCAACTGAGAACTCTACGTATGTCCAGCAAATATATGCTTTGATAATGAAAGTGAAGTAAAGATTTAGATATAAAATACCTAACAATTCTTTTCCTATAAAAGAAACTAAGAATTACTCATCACAAACTTATGCTAGTAAAAATAATAAAAGAAATGACTCAGGTTAAAGAGAAATAAGATCAAACAGAAACTCAGAAATTTGAGAAGGAACAGGGAAACTGTCAGAAATGGCAACCATGGTAGGTATCTAGTAATGTGCCACCCAGAATCTCCTTCAAGGAAAAGTTCCTTGCTCCTCTTACTGGGAGCCGTGATGGCAGACAGCCTTCAGTTTTCAGCAACTGCAGAGGGTAATTCAGTTACTGTGCTGAAAGTCAGGCCCTTCCCAGAGCAGCCCATGCCCAATGACTGAACAGATGGAGGTGTGAAGGACCAGCCACTCTGACCAATGCCAAGTCTCTCAAAAGCCTGTCTAGTTCAAGCTCCCTGTAGAGTTGGATGAGGGTGGTGATTGAGATTACAGGTGAATTTCTCCCTCTGCTAACACTCTGTATAGAAAACTGTCTTAGTTGGACTCCAAGAGAAACTGCCACAGTACCAATAGTTCAAAACAGCAGAGATATTTAAAGAAAAGTATTTCTTTAGAAATGTAAAAACGTCCAGTCCTTCCTCAGTGCTGGAACTTCTCTATAGTACTTTCCTTAACACAAAAAAGATTATGTTCTGAGGATAAAGGTCTAGGATTTCACACATGCAAGACATATGAATTCTAGCTTAGTACTAATGCCTGAATGATGTCAGTTCTTGGGGGAAAATATTAGTGAATTATAACCTTGACTATCATACAAATTGCATGAATTTAAATAACGTCTAGTGATTACTTCTTAGGAGCTAGTAGGATCATACAAGCCAAAGCTATTTCATAAACACAATTCTGCTCCCTGGTCCCAGTCAGGAGTTAGCAAATGTGTGTCAGTGACAGCAAGGGAGAAGAGGCAAAAACATATTGTTATTGCATTTTTTCACAGTGTAGATTAATTCTACAGATAAAAACACAAAACCAAATGACTGTTGGATGATTTTATTACCTAGCATCATTAACTGAAATAGGCATGGCATTACTTGGAAGCAGTCTATCTGCAGTGAGCACCTTTTTTTGTAAATTTCTATCTTGTTATAACCATCCTTAGCTGACCAGCCTCCCTGTATCTAACATTTCAACTCATTTCTCAATTTCAGAAGAATGTCTTTCCTCCAGTTAAGGCTAAGTATACAGTATACAGTCTGTAGTTCACAGTGTCTCCTTGCCCATCACTTAGACCTTTCTCTCTATTCTAAAAAGGAAAGAGATCATTATGGCTCCTCCGACTCAAATTCAAACACTTTGAGTGCTTGAATCTCTGTGTATTGTCATTGTAGGATCATCTACTCCACAAGTGGTTCATAAGCTGAATTTTGCTACACTTTCAAGTACCTATAGGAATTTCCCTTCCTGGCATCCTTTTTCCACAGTTCCCTTCTCCACCACCAGTGTGGCAACATGGAACTTTCTAATGTAGAAGCCCCATGGAAGAAACTCTTGATCCCTGCTTCAAAACCCTTACTAAGTGTCACTGCCATTCAATAGGTTATTGCTGCCTCATTATTCTCCAAAATATGACTTCAGGTTTTTTTTTCTTCTTCGCAAACCAGCAGATGGCCTCTCACTGTCAACTGTACATTACTCAGATTCTCGATTTAGCTAGTAAAGCTCCTTAAAATTCAGCCTTCTTTCCTATTACATGACACATTGTTCCATCAAGCTAGATCCCGTCGTCTCACTGAACACCCTGGCCTTCGTCCTTGATATACATCCCCTGTTCCCAATTCCCTTTCTTCTTTGCCCTGTCTACCAAAACCTATCAGTCAAGACCCAACTCAAGATTCAGCTCCTCCATCACATCACCAACACCCTATGATTTTACCTTTCTTCAGATTTTTACCAAGTTCCTAGACAATTTTAAAATGTACTGGCTTTAAATATTCGTTTGTTTTAGTTTTTTCTCTCTAATTTAGATCCCTGGAAACTTTTAGTCACTAACACACACATACACACACACACACGCACGCACGCACGGCTCTTAGAACTATTTTTTAACAGCTTCAGCATGGGTGTCTAGAGAAAAACACGTGTATGTATTAGGATAACATACAAATTTACAACTAGAACAAACTAAAGAAAGGAAGAGAGGGTTGAAATTAATGAGGTCAAATCCTGTCTTTTCTACAGATGCTTTTAATTTTTTCAGTTGTTTGTACATTGCTGAAACTACCACACAGATCTTGATTGTTATCTCCTCTCTTGTCACTGTCTGCCCTCTAGTGGATGGTTATGAGAATGAATAAAAAATTACGCCAAAGAAGAAAAAAGTAACAAGTTGGTTCTTTTACATTAACTCATATTGGCAAAATCAGTAACTTTCATAAAAGGTGAAATGATTTCAGTTGAGACATGAAAATATAATTTGAACATAAGAAAAACTTAAAAGTCAGAGGGAAAAAATGACACAGGCTGTGAACGTGAAAGGTAAGGGGCTGAGCTTGGGATGGACAATCTAGACTATTTCCAGTTTTCTTCTTGAGTATTTTCTTACTGTATCTTGGCTATCAAATACCACACTGCTTGAAGTTGAAAATAAATAAACAAAAAGTAAATAGGCAAAGCAGAACATCCTATGTTTACACTGATGTCTTCAGCTCCCCTCTTCCTTTGTGAGTGTCTTGGATAGGTTGAGTTCTCTCTGTTTGGCAGCACTGATAACAGTGTTAGTAAGGCAGATATAGAGTCACTGCCCTGGGGGGTTTTCTTCTCCTCTTTCTGGATCATTTCTTGGTGAATTTGTCATGCCAAATCATGTACATAATTTATTTCTTTGTATTCCTAAACACTTGATAATTTCATGATACAAGCATGACTTCAGAGATTTAATGAATGCATTATCTTTGACAGAGGTAGTTTTAAGTTTTAACCTGTCAACCTTTAAAATTCAAATTATCTATTATGTTTCATCTTGTCACTTTTCTTTCTTCTTCACAAAATAATCAACTTGGCATAACAATTCCTTGCCTCCCTGGCTTTCCTAGTCAAACTGATTTCACACAGGTTTCTAGAAGAGCTTTCTGAAAGAACTCACCTATTGAAAGACTTGGATCACTCATTTGCTTTTCTTTTCCCATTTAGCTCATAACTAAATATTAGCTTAGCATTTTTCACTGTGCTATGAATCGTGGTTCTGTTTAGAGAAAAGTAAAAGGGTAAAATATTGAGGAAAATTGCTCACTCAAATGTTTTGTGAGGCTTACTGGCAAATAACTGAAAGCGGCCCTAGTCCTATGTAACCTCAGACAAATCATTTCACCTCTCTAAGCGTTAGTTTCTATCTTTGTAGAATGAAGCTGTCCTCCATGTCTGTCTGCCTTGCTGGGTTCCTACACAGATCAAAGGCAGAAAAGCATGTGAAAATCCTCAGGAGAAAAGTTTAGTAGTAGACCATAGTTATTTTATGTGTGTGCACCAGTAGGAGTAACATAGGATAGTTTTTTTCTGGAAGACAGACAAAAATGGCTTTTCAAGTCATTCTGATAAAGGGGGAAATACCCTTTCTTCTATAAGTCATTTACTTATAAAATTTAAAACGAACTACACTGTTCCCTCACAGCTGCTCCATCTACTAAAAGTGAAACCTGAAAACTCCCTCCCACATCCACTCCTACCTACCTCCTAAAGTGAAACCAGGACACCCCCACAAGAGCCCCAAGTTCTATTCAACTCCTACACCAACCCAGACATTGAAGAGTGCACTTCTGATTCAGAAAGTGTCTCCTACAGCCCACACATCTCCAACATACATATGACATGCATCACAGATGTGTCAGTCTAACTGCATGCATAATGTAATTTAAAAACCCATAGTCATAGAAAGTGACAGAAAGAAACACTCCTAACTTGTACTACTGACGAGGTAGACCCAGCTGAGACACAATAGTTATTTAAATTTTTCCCAAGGGGGAGAAGACAGAGAGAATCCGTATGACTTTGATTGTTATGAATATGTGTTTAATTTATTCTGCCTTGTCTTAAAAGGGGAAAGGGAGACAAGGAAGTGACAGTGAGGGAAATTATCTATCTTTGTGTAGAAGGACACAAAGTAAGATAAATAAGACAAGACAGAAAGTAAGAGTGATCCTGTAAGGAAATCTAGAGTCACCCCCATGCCTGCTGCTGCAAGTGGTTTTTATTGCCACATAAAAAAGGCAAGGCTGGAAAGGTGTGCAGACCAGGTCTCCCAGCAGTCACTCTCCCAAAGAAAACTCAGACTCACCGGCCACAAAGAAGACCATCCGTACGAGGAACAGTGCTAGGTCAGAAGTTCTCCAAGGGCAGAACATTTCTGTTTTCTGCTTTTCTGTCCCTCACTCGGTGCTTTTACTCCTCACAGGTAGAGAAGCAGTGGTGAGCATGACAGACTCCCTCTGCTCTCCGATGGACTTGTGGGTGCTCCCTCCTCTTAGCCCATCAGCAGCAGGCACTCCTTTCCTCCTAGTCCCTTTCTTCAGGCGGACATGTTTTAGCCTGATTAGTAACTTGGAAGAGGAGAAACTCTTCTCTGGAACTTGACACAGCAATAGATTTCCTGTGCGAGGCACTGCAGCAAAGACAGAGGAAGCAGATTGATAGAGTTAACTTTCAGCTCATTGGTTCTCCTCTCCCGCTGCTCATAGATAAACTCTACAGTAAGACTCTGAACAAGCCCAAGACAGACCGATTCATCTAAACTTCCATTCAAGACTAATGCTGACTACTTACCTATTCTGGACCCATGCCTGTAAACTTCCCAATCACAGTAACTTCTAGAAGACTTCTCCAACCCAAAAATAAAAATTAAAAAAAAAAAGTACCGCCTTCTTCAGTCTTCAAATATAGAATAAAATATTTCTCCTTGAAAGTTCTTTGATGGAACTTTGCTATCTAGTCTAAGAGTCTACACACAGCTCTGGAAGCATCATGCCTACCACTTTCCATTACTACTGTAACAGTCACAATGTTAGACTGTGTGGCTTAGCACAACATAAATTTAGTGCTTAATTTCAGAAGTCTGAAAGCATTATATGGAGCTAAAATCAAGGTGTGGACTTTTCCTACAGGCTCAAAGAAAAAATGTCTTCCTCACCTTCTCCAGCTCCTTAGAAAATGTCTCTACTCTCTGGGTGTGGCTATATCATTCTGATCTTTGCAGCACCGGCATCCCTCGTTCTCTGATCATGACCCTTCTGCCTTCCTCTTAAGAGGATCTTTTGTGACTGTTTTGGTACTGCTCAGATAACTCAGCATTATTTCTCCATCTAAAGATCCTTACTTTAATCAGATCTGCAAAGTCCATTTTGCCATGTCAGTGAACACATTTACTCAAGGACCTTTGTCGGGGATTCAGTACTTATTAACCACTCCCTTTGATTTTTGAAGAGTTAGATCATTTTAACCACCAAGATTCATCTTTTAGTTGTCATACATCTTGGGGTTCTGACTTTCCAGAAAAATTCTATGTAATGTTGCTAGTTAGTGTATATTTAGATTAGCGTTGAGAGGAACAAAAAAAAAAAAAAAAACCTTTGTGGTAAGAATTTCCTACCCCAAGACAAAACTCTCCAGGAAGGGGAAGAAAACATTGCAAACAGGAAAAAGATTAAACAACATGCATTTTTTTTTCAAAGTTAGCATTTCCATCTTCCCTCTTGCCAAACATTAAACTATATATATTTTCCCCCTTCCCCTTCTGAAACTCTCTCTGTAAATCTATTTGATTTAGACAATGAGATAAGATCCTTAAGAGCAAGAAAGATTTGAGAACCTGGCCTATGACAATGAGTGGGGAATAACTCCCTGCTGTTTGGTTTAACCAGGTGTCAGAAAAAATTGGAGAAATGTCATTTAAACTGTAACACTCTGGTTTTCTACCACATGCAGCTGTTAACACCATAAGTTTTGACAACAGACAGAACTAAAGTTAAATCTCTGCCATGCAAAGTCAATGATACGGGTAATTTTCTTAGTCAAGTCTGTAGTCTTTTTGCCACTTAATATTATTTTGGCATGGAATTTTTCTCAAGTCATCAAAAATTTTCAAAGATTAGGCAGGGAAAATGGTTCAGAGGATAAAGATGATTGCTATGCAAGCCTGACAACCAGAGTTTGATTCCCAGAACCTAAATAAAAGTGGAAGAAGAGAACTAATCCACAGAGTTGTCCTTTGACCTCAGGATGCAGGCCTATGACGTCAGTCCTTTGACAAGTATGCACCATGGCATACACACACAAAGTAATCTTTTTAATTTTTATTTATTTGGTTTTTTTTAATATGTGTGAATGTTTTGCCTGCATATACATAAGTTCATCCACGTATGCAATGTTCGAAGAGGCCAGAAGAAGGCATTGGATTCCCCCTAGAACTAGAGTTTCAGACCTTTGTCAGTTACCACGTGGGTGCTGGAAACCAAACTCGGGTCTTCTGCAAGAGCTGCTAGTGTTCTTAACTTTGGAGCCATCTCCAGCCCCAATTTTAAAATATTTTATTCATTATTTTTATTTTATGTGTATGAGCATATTGCCTATATGTATGTGAGTGCACCCATGTCGTGCAATGCTGTGGAGGTCAGAAGAGGGCTTCTGATTCCCCTGGAACTGGAGTTAAGGACGGTTCGTAGCTGCCATGTGGGTGCTGGGAATTGAACCCCAGTCCTCTGCAAGAGCAGTCAGTGCTCTTAACCGCTGAGCCATCTCCAGCCCCACTTTTAAAAACTTTTTGATTGGTTATTTTAATGCCTACTTGACAACACAATCAAAACTAAAGCTCGGGAGATTTGCCAAAGTCTGAAGGAGATCTGATAGCAGAGCAGAGAGTAGAGCGTTTTGTGTTTGCCAGCTCTGAGTTCTTATGACTCAGCCCCTTTGGGCTGAGATTGGGGCAATGACTCTCACAGACATATTCCTGTATGTTCATCTGAGATCAAACTACAGTCTGTATGCAACTATCTAAGAGTCAATTCAGTGATATCAAAAACCATAGAATTCATGAAGTAGATTTGGAAAGATTATTATTTTTCATCTCCAATCCTTTACCTCTTCCACCCTCAAGACCCACTCCTCCAACTTTCCCAATTCCCACCTTCACTTCTTAAGGACAGCAAGCATTTAGATAAAGGGACTAAGAGTTTGCAGTGTAATCATCCACCCAACATATGTCATGGGACTTAGCATAATAAGAGAAGTATCAGGGCTGGAGAGGTGGATCAGTGGTTAAGAGCAGTGACTGCTCTTGCAGAGGACGAGGGTTCAATTCCCAGCACCCACATTGTGGTTAACAACCATCTGTAGCTCCAGTTCCAAGGTATCTGATGCCTTCTTCTGATCTCCGAGGGCATTGCACAACATGGGTGCCCTTATACACATGCAGGCAATGCACTCATATGCATAAAATAAAAATAATAAATAAAAAGAGAAGTATCAGTGTGTCTGTTAATGTACCCTCTGAAAAAGTCATAAGGCCATAGTTTCTTCTTGAATGTTCGACTGAAAAAGGTGGGCCTAAACCTACTTGCTTTTGTATCTCTACTTTTGGTGAGCTCTCTAGCTTAGATATCCAGCCTGACTTTCTCTTCCATGCACGTACACGCATGTGCACACACACACACACACACACACACACACACACTCAAGTCCAGCACACCAATTTCACAGAAATGAAAGAACAATAGCTAATAATGCAAATAATTGTAAGAAACTCAAACACTCCATGCTTTGCTTTCTCCCTGTCCCCAGGGACAACAGTTAGAGATTTGAATCTAACCTATAACTACAGAGAAACCATGAAAGAGTAAAATGACTGCTATCTTAACTCAATCCATTTTCTGTTTTCCTATTTACCTCAGTGCAGGCTTCATCAAGCCAAACTTTCAAGATTCATCTAAAATTATGAATCTTCCTTCATACATAATCATTCAGTGCTTGATTAAACGGCTAGGGATGTAGCTCAGTAACTCAGTGGTAGAGTGCTTGCCCAACACGTGCAAGATCCAGTTCAGTCTTTGGCACTGACAAAACCTACGCCTCATAAACTGCATATTTCTATTTTCACACCCTACTGTTGTGCTAATATTCATCTTGAAATTTTTCACTTCCACTTAAACTACATTGCCAATATAAAAATTATTTTTAGGAAATTAGGAAAAAATATGCCATATAAGAGTTTACCATTTTCATTATAATTTCACAGATTGTACAAAAGTTGGGGATATTTGAAAATAAAATGTGCAATATCAAAAAAGCAAACAATATCTGAGCAGAAGTATTAACAATATTTTATTTGTTGCTAAGAATCAATTCTAAATCTCACTGGTCACATTCCTAATAAATAATATCTACTAAGCCCTACACTTAACCCTAAGGGCCTGCTTTAAGCACTTTGTAGATATTGCCTTATTTAATCCTCTCAAGACTCTACAAAGTAAATATCTTTACTGTCCTCCATTTCATATTTTCCTTTCATACCAGAAAAGCTAGGTAAATTCTCCAAAGGCACACAAGCAAGTGATACAGACAGGGATAGAGCCCAAGAAACCCTCCTCAGGGTCTATCTCTTCGTTACATATCTAGTTAAACTCTTGCTTATTATATACTTTCTGATTCTCTGTCTTGTCTTCAATACATCTTCCATGAATAAGTCTATTAATCTGTTCACTCCCTTTTTCTTCCTATTGAATACCCCTATTATTTCATGAATTGGTGGTGGTGGTGGTGGTGGTGGTGGTGGTAGTGGTGGTGGTCATGGTCATGGTGGTCGTGGTGGTCATGGTGGTGGTGGTGGTGTAGTGTGTGTGTGTGTGTGTGTGTGTGTGTGTGTGTGTGTGTGTATTTAATAGGACCTTGTGCTGTCTCCAATCATCTATTTAAATTACATCCGTATTACTCTCTACTGCCCCCTGCAGACAGTAGACAATTTAGTGAAACCAAGACTAATATTTTCAAAATTCATGTAACAAATTCAATTAGCAGTTTCACCCAGAGATTTTAATCACAAAATATGCTAATATTCTAACACTATGAATCTAATTTCAGTCTTCTAAAAATTAATTTAATGTAACAAATGATTGCTTAATGGACAGTGTGGGTGTCATAACCTTAAGAAATAGCATTTGAAAGAACAACAATGAATCTTCTGAATTGCTGGGGAGGTTTAATAAAAACAGTATAAACAAATGAATGCATGGATGGCAGATCCTATGAATCATCTCAGGAAAATTTGAAGATTGCTATCCTTGGGTACCTCAGGAAACAAAGTCAGAGGTGGAATATAGTGTGCTGATATATTAAGGAGAAACTTCAGACAATCAATTGTAGAAAAGGATTAGAAACTGATGTAGACAGTGGGAAAACTCTACTTCAGTCTACCATAGCCCCATACAGATTTCCAGAGCTTAAATTACTCTTCAAAGTTGTCCTCTATTTGTCCCTAATGGCCAGGCCTTTAGAGCTATACACCTGTTTGTCACTAGAGAGGGCTACAGGAAAGACCATGGCTTAGGTGAGGCAATCCATAAAGAAGATGAACTGCGGACAACAGGCCCAACCCCGGAATAACAAAATCCTTTATTGAAGTGAATCACATGGCACCTTGCAATGTCTGTCATGTAGACAAATATTGGAAAATAATGCAATCCAATTTTGGTCTCAAGTATCATTCCATCAACTGCATTTATGCTCCAGAAGCCAGGTAAATAAGAAACCTTGTTGAAATATTCTTTTGAATAGTTCTGCATTAGACGTTTCATATTTGAGGCAGTTAGTTTTCATTTATGAGTGGCAAGTGGGAAGTCCAGAAAATACAGAAGTCAACTGGAAAAAAAAAAGATGAAAATCCCTGTTGTATCTTGGCTAAAAACTGACATTGTTACAAAACATTCTGAAGACAGACAATAATCATCTGGGGTCCAAGTAATTCTGGTTACTAAGAAGGACAGAGATTTTTTTTAAAAAGGAATGTTCCAAGTAAGAAATATTAGATTGAATTCCATATGACCCTCTAGTAAACTAATATAAAACATGAAAACCATGTCAGTCACAAAAGTTGGTGTTCACCTGCAATTTGTTCAAATTTCATTGGGATTTCCCAGGGGCATGGTCAATGTTCTGTTGAACAACCATTATTTAGTCTTATAAGTAGCTTACAAATGTTGTCCCCAAATATATGTCTGACCATGCTGTCTTTTATAAGATGATGTAATGAAAAACGAACAGATAGTTTTAAATGGCTGAAATTCAATATGTTAAATTTAAAGTCTAAAAAAGACACAATTTTTCCCTAGTTTTGAGAGTAGCTATTAAAATTATATCCCGTGTGCCAGGTGTGACGGCTCATGCCTTTAATCCCAGCACTCAAGAGGCAGAGCCAGGCAGATCACATCGAGACTAGCCTGGTCTACACAGTGAGTTCCAGGTCGAGGCCAGCCTGGTCTACACAGTGAGTTCCAGTCAGCTGAGGCTACAGGAAGACCCTGTCTCCAAAAGACCAAAACAAAACAAAACAAAAACTATATCCCCAATGTTGAAATTTCTGAGTTAAAAGTTCAGTTCTATTACTTTATCTGTTTTTTTTTTCTACTCTAAAATGCCTATTTAATTATTTTTTAAAATCTGTCTTTAGAGGGGTCAGGCATGGTGGCATACACCTTTAATCCCAGTCCTTGAGAGGCAGAGACAGGTGGATCTCTGTGAGATTGAGGCCAGTTGGTCTACATAGTGAATTCTAGTCAAGTTGGGGCTACAGGGAGACCATATCTCAAATATATATATGTCTTCATGATTTTTTCTGTGACGTCTCGTCTCATGTTGGACACTATTTTGCTTGTTAAATTATAGAAAAAGAAGTAGCAATTTGAGCCCCTATATAATTTTATCTTCCTCTAGAAAAGATTTTCATGTACTTCTTCCAGGAATCTATGAACATTACAGTTTAGTCCTAGGGTTGTGGGCTATCCAGTAACTCAAATCGAGAAGGAAGTCTGTGTGAGGAGAGGTTTTATTGTCCACTCGACCCCACCTCATCCCACTCTTCCCGAGCCAAGGGGCTGATGGAAACACCATTAATCTTTTAACCAACTCTTACATTTCAATCAACAAACATCCCCAGGTTAAAAAGATGTCCAGTGTCAATCATTGGGGGGGGGCAGGGTCTTGAAACTTGCTATGTAGACCTGGCTGGCATGGAAGTTGCTTTGTAGACCAGGCTGGATTTGAACTCAAAGAGAGCCACCCACTTCTGTCTCTTGAGTTCTAGGATTACAGGTATGTGCATTTTCTGGATGTTGACCAGATAATTAATTCATCATTGCCTTGCTAGCTCTTCTACCTTCCAGTGGACTTAGTTCTATCTCCATCATAAGTTTGTTAATATCCAACTTTTCTACTCATCTTTGATAGAATAGCTGGGCTTAAAGGTCTTCATCTGCCATCACCTGATGCTGAAGTACCTCCCTCAATTCCTTACTTTCTCTCATTTCTCACAGTGTATCAACAGGTCATCTCTATTTCTTCTTTAGTACATTTCCTGAACTTGACACTTTCAGTCTGATAGAATATGTGAATTGCAGAAGAGCCAGAAGCCTCATTAGGGAAGGCCATAAATCCCTTAAAGTATCTAACTAGTCCTAAATTGGCAGCCTGGCCTTGCTCAAGCCTGGCCTTGCTCAAGCCTTATCAACTGGTCACTCCCTGGACTGAGAGAAACTGTTTATGGAGCCCATCTGTCTCTAGTATTATAGATAACTCAGGCATCTGCCTGAGCAAATAATCTTCAGAAAAGAGACCTTCAAGGACCCCAGACCCTGGTGCAGAGTTAACTCTTGGAGCTGTGTACAGCAGAGTTCCTATATAAGACCAGATTGCTCCCCCTTCAGCTTGCAGATAATCAATCCAAGGAGCACATTCCTTGCCCGTTGCAGGTCTGACTCTGACTCTTATTTCTAAACTTTAAACTCCTTCCTTTTTCTGCCCACTATCAATATCTACTGTATTGGATTAGAAAAAAAATGGGAATAAAGTTACAAATTCAAAAACATGGTTCTTGAAAAATGAAATCTGTGTCATTTAGCTTGTGGACAATGGAAAACACAGACAACAGAACCTTGCATCTGCCAGCTGCACTATTTGATCACCACTTTTTTCAATCTTTGGTTTTGGACACTTGTGTCATTGTTAATATTAATGTCACATAAAGGTCCAGGTATTACATACAGGAAATGTAAGAACTTTACAAGCCTGAAGTTCTACACTGAGATAGTTTTTCCTCAAAACAGTTTATTACATTAACATCTAAGTTATGTTTCTATGACTATTTGTCTACTAATGATCTTTGTTGTATGTTTTAATTCACTTTCTTTTCAACACTTATTTATTTATTTTATGTCTATAAGTATGTTCCCTGCATGTATGTAAGTGCACCATACTTACTTCTGGCAGGGAGGCCAGAAAGGGGCATCAGAAACCCTGGAACTGGATGGTTGTTATTTGCTCTGTAGGTGCTGGGAACCAAACCCAGGTCCTCTGCAAGAGCAACCAGTGCTCTTAAACATTGGGCCATCTTTGCAGCCCCAAATCACTTTCATATTTAACATACAGTACTGACATACATTACTTTTGGCGTCACTTAATATCTAGGGGAATTTTATTTTAAATGCTGTTATGATTGTCTTGGCTTGGGAAAAGAAGAAGTAAGGATTATGAGACTGTTGAAAATGTTTAGTTGTTGAATGTCCCGTATCAAGAAAAGGAAGTAGATAAGATCTTTTTTTTTTTTACTTATTGTTTCTATATTTTACTTGACTGAACATAAAAAAAGCAACTAAACTTGCAAGAATTAATGTCCTGCTCCTAAAGATTTTGTCCTAAGAGTAAGAAAGTCAATTGCAGATGAGTTCCTGCCTGTGCTGTAGCAACTTTGGTTAAAAAAAACAAGGATGAGGTAGCACTACAAGTTGATCTATATCTATATTCTTCAAATCAGTATAGCCAGAGGCAATGACAGAGGTGCCACAAGCAGCCATACCTCAGTCTTCAAAAGGAAGTCACTTGCATAAAACTAGCCTTTCCTGACACATCCATCTAGAAGGAAGATACCTCTTATGTGAGAATGTCTTGGGAAATACTTTCAGAAAAGGGATGTAGATTTGACTCACCACAATTCTGAAGGCTCCAAAACATGGCACCAGGATTAGTTTGAGGTGAAAGCTTGAGAGCATCACAGTGTGAGCACAGGCAAGGGAGAGAGGTTATGTGACCAGAAAGGGGGACTGAAAGAGAGCAAATTGAGAAAACAAACTTTGCTTTCATAGGAGCTCATTCTTGTGGTAGCCAATCCAGGCCACGTTCTATGACATGGTTTTCAGTTTTATGAGCGTCATCTTGATTACCTGTCATGGAACTAAAATGTTCCACCATTTTGCAATAACGCCACACATGCAGCCCCATGAACTTTGTGGAGTAAACCATGTACAAGCCAAAGCATCATATTTGTATGTATTAAGTAAACATATTTTAACAAAGTTTTTTATGATTGTTTTAGTTTTCAAACATGACAGGATCAGGAAAAGAGGGAAATAAACTATAGCTACCGTTTAAAGAGATAAGCTTTCCAGGAACATGCCATCAGGTCTTTAGCCTAGTATTTATCTTGGGTCTATTTGGAGCAAATAACAGCTCCTGGTCGTGGGATACCCATATTAATGAGTAAGACTTGGCACGCAGACTGGAACAGGCTTTAAGGATGTGACACGCTGAAACGCTTTCTGAGCATCTGGGTTTGTTGTTGCGTTTTGTTTTGCTTTGCTTTGTTTTGTTTACAGTATTGTTCCTCTTGCAACAATTATTCCCTCTATTCAAGAACAAACATCATGTAACTCAGCTGTGTTCTATGTGCTCTACTTAGTATCTGGGCTAAATGAGACTATTTAAGCTTACTGAAGCTTTGAAGATATTGAAAAAATATCCCTATAAGCCCAAGAGATGCATAATTTAAAATTTACTTTCTACAAAAAAATAAATAATGGCTGAGGTATCAAAATATTTTTTAACAATGGCAATTATAAGCTAGATCAGTTGGTAGAGTGTTTGCCTAACCATCATGAAGCCCTGGATTCAAACCCCAGGACCACATAAAACTGGGTGTGGTGAAAAATGTGTAATTCTGGCACATAGGAGGTAATGTTAAAAGGATCAGAAATTCAAGTTCATCTTTATCTACAAAGCTAGTTCGAGATCAGCTTGGAATATATGAAACCTAGCTAATAATACTAACAATAAAGTTAAAATGATCATTGTAAAAGTAATGTCTGCTTTTCCAAAAAAATTAAACAATAAAAATTATGTAAAGTTAAAATATTCTTCCACCCACCCGACCCGTCTTGAACAGGTGAAGGGGCATGTCCCGGGGTTTCCGGCGTTTCCCTGAACCCGCCGCCGGCAGGGGTCTGAGG